TTCGGCTGTTAACAGAGAGGTTGGTGGTTCAAGCCCACCCAGGAATGATCGATGCTTTTGTCCATTGATCGAAAAGTTTTGAGTGAATTGAACTTGTAGAAATTGATGAAAACATTATGCTGCCAACGTGGGGCTCGAACCCACAACCCTGAGATTAAGAGTCTCATGCTCTACCGACTGTGCTAGCCAGGCTGACATGCTACCCAGTAAAAATTGCCAATTTTGGGGCATTGGATTTGTAAAATAGATTATTTGTTCAAAGTTTTTTTGAGAAAAAAATTTAATTCGTAGCTGTCTCTGTGGTGCAATCAGTTAACGCATTCGGCTGTTGTTTGAAAGGTTGGTGGTTCAAGCCAAGCTGGGGACGTTCTATGCTTTGGTCCATTGATCGAAAAGTTTTCAGTAAATTGAAATTCATGTTTTATCTTCACCTACCTCTCAGGTCAAGCAATACCAGAGTCTTATGCTCTACTGACTGAGCTAGCCAGGCAGGCAAAAAAAATAATTAAATTCAAAGCTGTCTCTGTGGCCCAATCTGTTAGCACAATCGGCTTTTAACTGAAAGTTTTGTGGTTCAAGCCCACCCTGGGACAAACAATGCTTTTGGTCATTGATCAAAATGTTTTGAAGGCTCGAACCCACGATCCTTAGATTAAGAGTCTCATGCTCCACCGACTGAGCTAGCCAGGCAGATATGCAACTAGTTAAAAATTGCCATTTTTTGAGCTTTGGACTTATAATATGGATTATGTAAACAAAGTATGTTCAACAAAATGCGTTCGGCTGTTAACCGAAAAAGTTTTAAGTGAATAGAAATTCATGGTTTATTGTCTTATGCTCTACAGACTGAGCTAGCCAGGCAGACCAAAAATAAATAAATTCATAGCTGTCTCTGTGGCGAAATCGGTTAGCGCGTTTGGCTGTTAACTGAAAGGTTGGTGGTACAAGCCCACCCAGGGACGATCGAAGCTTATGTCCATTGATCGAAAAGTTTTGAGTAATTGAAATTGTAAAAATTGATGAAAACATTATGCGCCCAACATGGGGCTCAAACCCACAGCCCTGAGATTAAGAGTCTCATGCTCTACCGACTGAGCTAGCCAAGCTGACATGCTACCCAGTAAAAATTACCAATTTTGGAGCATTGGATTTGTAAAATGGATTATGTGTTCAAAGTTTGTTTGAGAAAAAAAATAGCCCTTAGCTGTCTCTGTGGTGCAATCGGTTAGCGCGTTCGGCTGTAGATTGAAAGGTTGGTGGTTCAAGCCCACCCAGGGACTATCTATGATTTTGTCCTTTGATTGAAAAGTTTTGAGTAAATTGAATTTCATGTTTTATCTTCACCTACCTCTCAGGTCAAGCAATACCAGAGTCTTATGC